TATATAAGTAAATAATATATAAGAGAGAAAGTAAAAAGCAAGTCCGACTCGCATTTCGCAGCTTTTTTAAACACTCATTCCTTTTGTAGTACGTAACATCAACCGACAGACACTATCTGTTCAAAGTTTGTAGTCTCTTGTTTATAAGTGTTTAAGCCAAGAACCGAGATAGTTCAGTATTGTGTTCAACATTGTAGACAACAGAGTAAGTTTTTATGCGACTTATGTTTTTTATGCATGCATGCATACAGGGACATGAAAGAAAAGCTTATTGTATCTTTTCGTTGTCGGCATTAAAAGCCTAATTAACGGACAGCGCAATTTTGGAAATTGTTGTATACGCAATTTTTTTTGTAGTGAAACTTCTTTAGGCATGCTTAACTTGGGGGGTAAACTGGTGAATGTGTTACGGTTACGCGTTACGATTAGTGTCATCGGTGACTCATCGGTAAACAATGAACAATACCCGTCACAAAATACATGAATGTAGTGCTAACTTACATGTTTACTTTATGTTAAGTATTGAAATTTGTTTTTTTAATTAATTACATGCTTAGATTAAAACAAAAAGGGAAGATACGGCACTCGCGGCTCGAAAGTGATCCGCTTAAATTGTGGTGCATGACCACAATTCTCTGTAGTCACAATTGGACATTCAAATACTCTGCATGTACACTCAATATTACAATATTGCGTATATTCTGTGTTATAAAGAATAATTTCCAGACCATATATTATCTTTTTTCTGATGATACGACAATCAATCGCTCTAGGAGATGGACTGACTACTATCAAGGTTTGATATATATATATTTTTAATACTTCGCCTCACACTAGGGTTTTCTTCTGTATCGTGGGTGTAATTACAAACATATAATGTCACATGCACATTGCACATACGCCCAGACCAGGACTCTGTAGGTCATACAAAATATCTGTGCCGTACGGGAATCGAACCCACGACCCATTGCGCAGTAGGCGAAGACTAAGCACTAGCCGTGACGTCAAACAAATATAGAAAACCATTGAAAAAACTAATATTTTAGTTTTTTAATATCTAGTATAACCTCCCTCTGCAGCTATTACGGCACATAGTCTATCTCGCATTGATGCAACAAGACGCGCGCATAGATCGGTCCCTCTAATATCATCCCATACTCGAGCACAGTGTGATCTAAGATCATGAAGGTTCCTTTAATTTTGACAGTCCCAGCATTGAACCATAAGCCCCCATAAATTTTCAATAGGGTTTAAATCAGCAGACCAAGCGGGCAATTGAATCGGACGATTTTCACGGTACAGGTTGAACCACGCCATAGTAGCACGGACCGTGTGTATGTATGTATGTGATTTAAAGATTTTCTCAAGGTTTAAATATAGTGTTCGACCAATAAAAATAGAGATTATGTCGCGCAAACTTAAGCCGGGCTGTTTTGTTGTGAGGTTTCAGCTCCACTTTAATAGCATGTTGTCTGTAGTGTAGTCTAGCACTGTGCAAAGTTCGTCGGATCGTCCGAGCACTCACATCATATAAATCAGCAAAATAACTAGTTGGTGTGAAACCGTTCTCTTCGTAACGAATCATTTCTGTTATTTGCACGGCGCGGTTAGTATTGGTCGTCGTCCTGAATTATTTCTATGATCTGTTAATTGCCCTTCTTCGCCGTGACGCCGGATTGGACCCTCACAGTGAATCGCGATATATTGAGTTCTCATGATATAGCACTAATACTATGTCCATCTTCGAAGAGAAATATTAATTCAGCCCTTTGCTCCAGGGTCAAACTTGCCATTCAATTTCGTTATGAAATTTTTTTTCGTAAAATTATGCTCTTGTCAAACAATGTTCAAACAAAGACTTTTTAATATCAACGAATAAAGAAATGAGTTTCAATATAAAAAAGTAATATATAATTTTTTTTGTTATTCTCGATGCGTCATATTACATAATAACTTTTGAAAGGTAATAAGTTACTTGATATTTTAGACATTAGTGAAAAAAGTGTGATATAGAATCTAATTTCAAAACTGGTCAACATTTTCTGACCGCGACCGTACATATTTAATTTTTGTAGCCTCAAAAGTGAATAGATGAAAACTTAACGAAAATAATAGGTACTTAATTTCGAATCTGCTGAGTTGATAAAAATATTTCGGGAATTATTAGGGAAGAAAATTTTACTAAAAATAATAAGTATACTAAATGACTGAAATCTCATTATTATTTTTGTTTATTATTGTGGGACATTATTACCATTTGTGAAAAAAAAAATACTGTTATTCTGTATTATATATTGAAGTTTCTTTAGTTATCATGTTCACATGTGTATAATGTTATAATAAAGGAAAGAAATACATAATTGTTAAGTACTATATAGAAACATTTTCTTAAAATCACCACACCAACTAATTCTTAGGTACACATTTAATAAAATATAAAAACGTAACGTTTAAAACTAAAACATAAAATACATCAACCATATTTAGTAATTGTGGAAAGCTCTGGAGCTTTACTCTCTTTTTCCGAAACGAAATTTCGGTAACGAACGAATTTTAAACGAAATTTCGCCATTGACTCTACTCTATTTCATTTTAGAACACATTAACTTCGGAACCATAAACAGTTTTCGTGAACGAATGGAATGAGTCATGTTTGTGAATTCTTTTCATCTCTACTTTTAAGAAAACGTTTTTTTACTAGGAAGCAATATTATTATATTATTAGTTTAGGGCATATTTTTTGATGACATTGAAAGAACCTTCTTTGACAGTGTTAGCCGACTAATTTGTAGAATTGATACAATTTACTCTATGTCAACCTAAATTTGTCGTTTAATACTTTAAAGTATCGAAATTGCAATAAATAATAAAAAAATTGTTTTGTTTTTTTTGTTTTTTATTTGTTAATTTTACATGCTAAAAATGTTTCTCGAGCTAAGCAGCTATAATTAAAAATAGTCTTGCAAGTAATTTAGGCTTAATTCAAACAAAAATCTCAAAACGAAAATGAAAAGGTAACACTTTTCATTTTGTCAATTTGAGATTAAAATTTCGAACAATTATCTGTCAAATTCAACTTTTCCTTCGATGGTTTTGTGAATTAGAGTAGGCTTGGAGAATTTAATTGTCAAACTATTTCGGACGAACGAATTTTCGAAATAAAAATTAAACAGAGTAAGGAACGTGCGAAATTTCTATTGAAATTTCGTTTTTCGTTGAAATAGAGTAGGCCTCCTGTTCATAGATACCAGCCAATTCTGACGAAAGCTAAGCTTTTGTGTCACTCCTTACAGTTGTTACACAATATCCCATCCTTGTCTTTTGTAAGCGACTATGGCGCAGCGTACACCGGGAGATGCACTAAGAAGTTACTGAGAATTTAACAATTTAAGTTAAAGCGTAATTCCTATATCAGAAGTTTACAAAATCCATGGCAAAGATGAAACAAAACACAAGCGAAGCACAGCGCTGCGAAGCGTCCCAGAGAGCCGGCGCGTGACTGCTCCGCTCCGTGGCTCTTGGCCGCGCTTAAAGGCCTAGACTACCCAATTTAAAGACTTTGCGCGTTTGAAGTCGACCGTAGCGCGGAATGCAAGTTTCCAACGTCTTGCAAACATGCTTTTTACTTGCTACGCTATAATTTTTAAAATAATAATTTCTTACTCTCGGTCTGTAACTCAACCTTGACCTAAAGTAATTATATTTTTGAATAAAATTTTCCTCTCTATACGATAATGAGATGTATTCCTCGAGTGCTATTTGAACAGCATCATTTATACCCTTACCCTGACTAAGGGTGGTGTAATAAGAGTTAGGGAGTAAGTGACCCGATCTAGGGCGATCGGTACGTCCCGATCTCCCTTACGCCCTAACAATCGGGTAGTCTAATAGCTGTTAGGCTTTAAGAGAGCTCAGCCGACGCTCTGGGGACGATCGCATTCCATGAAGCCTTAAAGGCCTTCCCGGCCAGAGGCAGTCCCAACGGGTGTTTTTTATTCTGTAAGAGTATGACATAACTTTGCAGCCGGCTGTAGGGTAAAATAAAACAAAATAAAACCCTGAAACGGGGAAAATACGGATATTTTTGCCGAATTAGTTTATTGGCGCGTTGGCATCTAATGAAGAGAAAGAAGTTTTACTTAATTTTAATTAAGATTTATAATTTTTGTGGCAAAATGACATCAAAAACTATTTAAATAATCAGCAAAACATAGTAATTGATCTTAAAAAAAATACAATTAGCATCTTAGTCTAACCTTTAGGTTACCAATAACATTTGTATTTATTCGAGAAATTGAAAAAAAAAATTGATGATCATTAACATATTTTCCTTTCAATAAACAGAAAAGTTCTGAACGATTTAGCGAAGTTCATAATAAATCATAAATTGATCAGAATGAATCGGTTATGAAACTCGAGACGATTTTTTGTCCAGACTGAGTTAGGGTCTAATTAATAGTGCGGTGAAATAATTGCTACCCTAGCTAGAGGACACGCCCGCCTTTTCGATAGGGCTCTTGAAATTGGGTAGTGTAATAGCCGTTTAAGTATCTTCGCCGCGTCTCTCCTAGTATGCGCTGCGCCTAAATAGTTGTGATGCAGTCTTCCTTGACTTTTGTAAGCGACTATAAAAACAAGGGCTCCGCTGACTCGCTACCGTGAACAGAAAATAGAACCAAAACCGTTCAAGGATGAATTTATCATGATAAAATTTTTGATCATCGGCCAAAACTCATTTTTATGCAAAACAAGCAGTAATTGTACAATTTCAATTACTGCTATTCAGACCAAGAAAGCAGTAGGTTCAAAGAAACGCACAAGTATCATTATTATTGAATTGAAATAAACAGAAATTTTAAGCGCTTTTTATTGTTTTATTAAATGTGTACCTTATGTAAAAAACATGTCATAATTTATAGTGTTATAATAGCGGAACAGTGCTTCAAGTAAATAAGTGCACAAACTATCTAACATCTAAGTTATCTAAGTTATTAACTTACCAGGAGAAAACTCAACAGAAACATTTGCTGAGGCGTCGGGCAGGAATGTCTCAAACACTTCTGCCAAACGAAATTAGTAGGTACATGCAAAAAGATTAAGGGTGCCCGCAGACGGGATAATTATTAGGGTAATTTTATAAACTCTTATCATTTAAGTCCTATTGTTCTTTAAGGAATTGCTATTAAATGCATTCATCACTATCACTTTAAAACTGTTCTATTCCAACCGAAACAAATATAGTAAAAGGCAGGGCCGGATTTAGATAGAGGTAGGCACTGTAGGTCCTTTTATTTTATGTTTTGGAAAATCCATTACAGATTCTCCGCTTACCGGGAGAAGCAAGAAGAAGGAGAGGTATCTGTGGACTCCCAACTCCCTTCACCCCGCCTATTGACGGAATGAAAAGAGCAGGGCCCTTACCAATAAAAACCAAACAATACTCCAGTACCTTTCCCTGATACACATCTTGGAAACCGCGGTCCTGGCATATATTTCATTTCATATGTCAGGGGGCGGACAGACATGGTAAAACAGGTGGGACTGTCCACCCGCAAGGTACTGTAGGCCCTAGGGCAACAAAGGGGTGGATGCCCCCGGCCATTAAAGATTTGCAATCTAGCCCTCCCCACTCCCAGTTGGTAACCCGTTGAAATTTGGTTAGTTTTATCTCTGTTGGGGCCACTCTTTTGTGGGCCATAGCCCCACGTGCGCTACCTGGAATCCGGCCCTGATAGAAGGACATCTGACGTTTGCGAGCACCGTAATGAAAATAGTTGACCAAATAAGATAAAAGTGATGGATTTATCAATTAAATTACGCATGATTCGGAAATCAAACTATTGAAATTTTATAGTCTTGCAAAAGCTACTAAGTTGTAGGATATTACAAAAAACATGATTATGTAATCAAAATATAATTGGTATAACCTAAAACTTAAATAAACTTGAACTTTTATAGTTTGCAGGTGTAATAATCATGCTTTTTCATGCAAATTACAAATGATAAACCAGTTATTTCAAAACCTAAATTATTTACAAAATTAAGAATCGCAGTCTGCCACTTCAAAGCGATGATTGCTTGAGCTTGTTATAATATTGATAATGGAGCTAGTATATTAATTGCGTTTTTGTCACGGAACACAGAAAGAGGTTCGAAGGGCCTTGTGGGCGTGTCAGGCGCACAGTTATGTATGAGCAAATGCTCATAAAGTATTCATTTGACATTGTGGGTAAGGTAACTGATGTTACCTATAATGCGAAGAGATGGCGCTGCCTTGCAGCTTAAGGCTAGGAAAATTTCGACGCGTCCAATAGGGCCCTGGTAGCATAATGGTCAGTGCATTCGCCCGGATTGCGAAGGGTGCGGGTTCGAGTCCCGTCCGCTGCCTGGTCCGCGTGGATTTTTTTCTAGTAAACTTTTCTTTAGATTTAAACATCTAGCAGTTAAATGCTTAAAAATAAATAAAAACATAACTATAATGGCTATTTCTTCTTGCAAATGTTTAATACTTGAAAAAGTATTCATTTGACATTGTGGGTTACCTACAATGCGAAGAGATGGCGCTGCCTTGTAGCTTAAGGCTAGGAAAATTTCGACCCGGCCAAGAGGGTCGTGGTAGCATAATGGTCAGTGCATTCGCCCGAATTGCGAAGGGTGCGGGATCGAGTCCCGACCGTTGCCTGGTCCGCGTGGTTTTTTTCTAGTAAACTTTTCTTTAGATTTAAGCATCTAGCAGTTAAATGCTTAAAACATAAATATTCATAACTTCACCAAAACTTGGTTCTGATTGCGTCGTTTCTCTCGGGTGTGATCGCTGATTGGTCCGATTGTTTGATGTCGCATCGTTTGATTGGCTATTATCTATTAGGTGTAAGTGTAGTAGGGGTGAGCTAGCGACTCGGTTCCCGAATAAATAGTCTATTTACATCCTTCTAACCTCTTTCTTTATTCTGTGGTTTTTGTATTGGTCTCATTTGTTTTCATACGAATATTTGTTTTTATAACACGTATGCACGAATTTCTGGTATCCAGCATGGATCTAGCCAATAGATCTACTGAGAGAGAAAAATCTCCGTAGATCCATAGCTTGAAATCCGAATCTAATGAGAAAATAAATTCTCACAAGATCCATCATGGACCTACCTAGCTAGTCAATGGATCTGCTGAGAATGATTGAAAAAGTTGCACGAACCTTTGTTCACACCTAAACTAAGCAATCTCTTAGAACTGCCAAAGTTGGGATCTTTTGACGTTTTCGGGAGAAAGAAAAACGTACGATAACAAAATTTGTACAAAAACCGATCCAAAGAGCGAGCAGTATCAAAACCAAGCTCAAGCTTGCTTGCTTTAAAGTAGAAGACTACCAAGACAGCATCTTCGCTATTTATTTCGTAATCGTATAGATATAAGCGAAGATGTATCATGCATTTTACGTTTTGTCTGAGGCCGTACCGTGATATTCTTGTTATCATCGTGGATTTAAACATTCTAACTATTGTAGGTGCAATCGTAATGCCTATTAAATTTAAAGCTTAGTTATTTAGACATGGACTCATTCATTATTGTTTTAAAAAGCGTCTTTCTACCGCATCACTGTACGGCCCTAAACCTCATTTTCATTGAATTTATTATTAGATAAAGTAACTGATGTTATATTATCTTCTCTTGGTTACTAAATGCCAATTTATAAAGCTACTGCATCTAAAGAATAAGAATTAAAATGACTAAAACCAATGCAATATCATAATTTTGCTATTTGATTAGGTAAAAAAATGGTTTCAAATTTACAGGCTCAAATTATAGTGCTTACTTAGCTTAGCTTAATTAAGTTCTATGGTACTCACCACCAAGTAATTCAGGCTCTCCAAGGTTGACGTAGAAGAGGACATCCTTCTCGTAGCTGTCTTCTTCTATTATATGGAGTGGGATGAATTTCCTGAAACAATTAAGACAAACATTTGTAAACCAACCTTATTGGAACTCCTCAAAAGTCCTACCTATGTATAACTCTTTATTATCACAGAACATAATCATGATAATGTGAATTTTAATTAATTAATGGTAAGAGTACCAACCGAATACCTAACGAACTTTATGAGAGTAGAGCTTTGACCGAAAGATGTTGTGTTCCGGCAGTTAACAGGCCGGATACCGGATACGACACCGCGACACACGTCCCGGTCGCCGTCAATACGTAATAAGATAAATTTTTACTAACTAAAGTATTAAGTATATGATGTTTGATGTCTTTTTGACTTTAAGGTACATATCTATGGGCCTACGTTGCCTGACTTTAAATAAATAAATAATCACAACATTGCTACTTGACGACGCGAGGGGTTAGCACGTTTGGTCTGCGAACGTGGAAGTTAAGGAAAGGCTTATTTTTTATTTATTTTATTTATTTATTTATTTGTATTCAGGCATCTTAGGCCCATAGAAATATATACCTTATAGTCTAACATAGATATGAAATATAAAATAATAACAAAATAAATTCTAAATAACACGTTTAGTCGGCGACGTGTGTCAGGTAGCCTGCCTTTGAAACGCCGGAACACCACACCTTTCGGCCAAAGCTCCTCTTTCAAAAAGGTCGCCAGATGTTCCGTCGGCACTCTCACCACAAATGAATTAAAATTCACGTCGTGGCGAGACTCCAAACGTGCGACCCTCAGGGAGAAATTGGTCTTATAAAATGACACGTCGATTCAGTGTTGTGTATAGGCTGTATCTACAGTCGTTAGCACCCATCAAAACGCTCTGGGCCCGCATGGTGGCTTGTGGCCAATCTCCGTATTCCATTAACAGGGCATATCTGTGTATCGAGTGCCATAGAATAGGACCCAATTATATTTAAGTGATTATTATAGGTGCCTAGTTAATCTGTTGTTGCTTAGCATCTCACTATAAATTGCAAAGACTTATTGTGTAAGTTGTGGATAGTGTATTTGACTGCATATTTGTTATTAAAATTAACAGTAATACTATTTTACATATTGTAAATGTGTAGTTGTTAACTATTCCGAATGTATGAAAAAAAACTGTGTCCCAGCTATGGGGACATTAATAAACTGATGATCATGATTACCAATGACCTTCAATAAGAAAGCGATTGACGATGACGGACAAAGATATTCAACAGAGAAAATAACAGCGAATGCTTAATAATAATCTTCAATTGTAATTTTTTTTGGAAAAGAAACCCTAAATCGTAATTTGTTCATAACATTATAAACGGTATTAGATAGGTTATTTTATCGAACAAAGATGATTACAGTTGTGTGTTTGCTAACAACGGTTTCCAGTCGGATTGTCATTGTCAACACTCAAGTGTTGACAATGACAATGGTGTTGCAAACTTCTGTGACGTTCCCTTGTATCTGATTAACATAACACGAGTGAAGGTTTGTGCGACAGATTTTGGGATCAGAATAATTTATTTGACAGGAATCAGACACGAATACACAGTGGAAGTTGAATAACTGAACACTAAATTTAGAACTGTGCCCACAGGCAATTGTTTCTAAATCTCGTTGGAGTAAAGGCACAGAAAATAAATCTAAGTGAGGCCGCATACCGGAGCCACAGGGTACATGCACGCAACATTTACCTTGCCATAATATGCACGCTACATTTTTGCTTTTATCTCGCTACTAACTGAACCCGGTACAAATTTGTCCTTAGGTGTGCGTGCTTACACGCAGATATGTGAGGGCCTGAAATATGTTGCGTTTCAATCGTGGCCCCACAATTATCGTAATACAATTGCATGTCAGGTGTTCGGCCCGCCTTATAGTAAGGAAATACCATTAGACACTCGAGACTGACAGCACCGCGATGTCTGGTTAGGGACCGTGTTGAGACGTGCGTCTTCAGCCGTGTGTCATTTTGTATGTATACAGGGCGTCCCACGAGTTTGTCACACGGAGAGAAAGTATATTAAATATTGAAGATAGCATATTTTACTGAAACAAGATATCATTTTATTTTTAATAATAAGTAGAACTGCATTCACATTTTTAAAAAAATCGTCTGCCAAAACCGGGATTCAAACTCGTGAAATGTGAAACAAAAAAACACATGTATTTTATGATCCCATCGAAAGGGTAAATCATTATGATTATTTTTTACTAAATAACATAATAAACATTTTAAACGAAACAAAAATCACGAAATTTTTCTTTTTTTAATAATTGAATACAGTATTTTTTTTTAATAATTAAATTAAACTACAATAAAAAGATGGTTCTAGGTTTGTTTAAGTATCGCTTTATTTTTTCACGTTTTATTGTAAGGAAATTATTAAGTGAGCAGGTTAGTAAATACTTTGAAATGATAATATTAGCTGTTGGAAGCACGGAAAAGCAAGAGGAAATATTCCTTAAGAAAATTTTCATTTTATGATCTTTCTTTCATTAGCTGTTGGAAGCACGGAAATTTAGAGGATATTTTCCTGAACAAAATTTAATTTCATGATCTTCCTTTCATTTAAAATGCTATTTAGGAAAAAATACGTCATGTATATTTTTTCAAGTTTCACGAGTTTGATTCGATTCGATTTGATTTTGATGATTTGGTTTAAAAAAATCTGTGAAAGCAGTTCTAGCTATTATTAAAAATAAATGATGTCTTCTTTCAGTAAAATATCCAATCTTCAATATTAAATATCTATATACTTTTCCGCCGTGTGACAAAACCCGTGGGACGGCCTGTATACATACAAACGTTCGAAATGACACACGCCCGAATCCTCACGTCTCAACACGGTCCCTAAGCAAACATAGCGGTGCTATGGTCTCGGTAGTCTCGTCTCCGCAGACTTTTAAACATGACACAAAAGTATTGCGCAGCATATACGGCTAATAAATTGTTGTGACCATTTTTGTTTATTGTTTCTTTCATCATCGTCATCATCATCAACAGCCTATCTTAGTCCACTGCTGAACATAGGCCTCTCCAATTGCACGCCACTGAGATCGATATTGGGCTACTCGCATCCAGTTCCTGCCAGCCACCTTGCGCTAATCGTCACTCCATCGTGCCTGAGGACGTCCTACACTACGTTTGCGTAGACGCGATCTCCACTCCAGAACTCGTCTACCCCAACGGCTATCGGTTCTGCGCTAAATATGGCCAGCCCAGCCCTCTACCTATTGTTTCCTTGGACGATATATTTTCACTAAAATGGGTAAATAAAAATTATATTTAACAAAAATAAAAACCGATTTTAAAATCGAAAATGGCACTAAAATGTAAAAAATAAAACCCAGTTCATGATTTGAAAATCGGGCAGAGGAGTTTTATTATTTTTTACTTTTCATTCCCATTTGGAGGGTGCGGAAACGTTGCACGGTGCGCCCACGTTAACGACGTCGTGACGTGGAGCTATAGACACTTATTTGGCTTCTTCTTCGTTTAATTAAATAAGCCCATAAAATTTATAAAAATTGTAAGTGAGTGACAACGCTAATGGCAGAAGCAGGCACGCGACGTGTGATTTAAAGTTCATGAAAAGCACTATTAACATGAATTATTCCAGGTTTTTCAAGCCAACAGTTTAGCTTTTAGAGGAGGGGGGTGCCCTACACAAACAAAAATTAGCACTTTAAAGTTCTTAAACTTGAGTAAACTGTAGTAGTAAGTGTACTGTAAACTTTGCAAACGGATCCCTAAATCGAAAAAAAAGTCTTAGAAACTCCTAAGTATTTTTTAAGGATCTATTCAACGATGCTTCACGCGATGGGGTAGACGATGAAAAATTGAATCAACTCCAAGTCACATGTAGGAGAGCTACCCTAAAAATATATGCTAAACATATCTCCACAAAATTACAGCTCCCTAGTGCTAACAATCTCCAAGCAAAACCGGGGACGGGCAGACAGACGGACATGACGAAACTATAAAGGTTCCTTGTCCAGATTATGGAACCCTAAAAAGCAGCACTGACGGGTTTTTCTCAGTACAAGGTTCATCCGCCGTCGTGGCCTAGCTTTTTGATGTTCAAAGAGCTTGTTTCAGCTAACACAAAATAAATAAATTTGAGTTTCAGTTCTGGTGAGTAAGATTCCAGGACTTCGTGAGGTAGAAGATTAGGTTCAAGCTAGCAAGTTGAGAAGCCACAAAATGTATTTGATGGGACATATTACAGTTAACCATAGGTAGTATACGTTTGCTTGGAAAGAATATTTGCAACTACTGAAATTATTCAATTAACATTTCGCATGGCCAAGATAGTTTCTTGTGATGAGTGGCATAATTCAATTACCTTTGCATATCAACAAGTTTCTTTTGATTGTCGGTTAGACTATATTTGCGTGGGAGTCAGTGTTTGTATTTGTAACTTATTGAATTGGATCGGCCGTCTGAGGAAGTAATGTCCACCATACAGAAGTAAACAGTATAATTGTTACTTTTGTCTTCATAACACTAACCCAATCCCCAACACTTACCTAAACCCCAAGATCTGATTGAGCTTCCACTAACCAAATTTAAATTTTAGATCACGAATACTCTTTATGAATAAGGGCTATTATAAAGTTAATGATTATCTAAATGATCGTAATGCATGGACATAGTGTTTCTTGTAATTTGTTATTTGATGGGTATTAGTCAGTTTTTGTAACAGTAATATGGTATCTATCTAATGCCGCTTCCTATAAAAAAATTATTGTAACTATATATCTATATCCTAAATGATGTAATGGAAGGTGACTTCAGAAGTATCTCTGAAGTTATTTTACAACTTGACGACTCTGTATATATCAATACAGGGAAAAAAAAGCAGCCCTTACTGATTTTCTTGCCGGTTCTTCTCAGTACGAGGTCTCCCGCCGTAGTTTTGCGAACCGATGGCGTAGCTTCTTGACCTTCACAAGTGCTTGTAACAGCCTAGACTGAATAAATGACTTTTCATTTCATTCATAACCTCTAGAT